TACTTTACGAAAGCTTTTTTTTGATCTGACATCTTTAAGGCACTGCATTAGCAAAATGGATCTTGAAAAGAGATTAGTGTTAAGAATCTAGTACCACACACATCCAATGTTATTTAAATTAGATTTGATTAAATATTTTTCAGGCTTAAAAATAACAAGATTGCCTGTAGAATTACAGTTCTAAACACACCTGCTGTACCTTGTTAAGGGGTTGGGAATAAAAAAAATGGGAGCGTAGTAAGCGCATTTGAGTTCATCTGGTAAGGAGTCTCAGATTTCTTCCACAGCATTTCTTGGAATATCCTGTGAGCACTAGATGATTCACCAGCTTGGTTTCTCTCTTATTTTTTAAATCAGCATTTTACTAGAGAATTTCAAAATGATATAAATGGAAAAGTAAATCCTTTCGCTTAAACTCTGTGAACAAAAACCGTCACTTACCAGCCTGTTGCGAACAAGGCCAGTTTGTACTTTGACTTATGGAAAAAGAAATCTAGCCGAAAAAAAAAATCTTTGTCTGCAATTTCCAGGTCACAACTAAATGAGAGGTCTGAATTCTTAAGTATTTATGCAGACTAAATACCGACAGCTATGTGTGTAAATATGTTTCGGTCAAGGGAATACTGGGGACTTCTTTATTGTTCCTAAATGTTGTAACGCTGTGAGGCTTGAGGGATGCTTGACGGAATGTCCCGTCATAACCTCTTAAATTCTCTTAACATCAGCTATGCAGACTAGGTCTTCAGAAAATGTTAAGTTCTCAGTTTTTCACGCATTTGATGATACACACAAAGAATAAGTCCTTTTCGTGACTTGAGTAAACTTCTGAAGAGAAAGAATGTGGCACAGTAGTAGTTTAAACTGATAAAACTTACGTGATAGCCTCATTAACACATTTAGGGAGGAAAAGTATTCTTGGAAAGCCCTATATCTGGAAGTGTGCTTTCTTTCCCATTTATTCCAAACTCAAGAACAGGAAAACCTTTTTTGCAGAAAAATAATCAGAAGGTTTTAGAGTACTTGAGGATAGCTTAAACTGCGTGAAGAGAAAGCAATTAGGCTCCATGGTAAGCTACTTGTAAAGGCTGTCATTCTTGGAAGAGTTCTTACTGTTTGGTCTTTTCAGTTGTAGGAAAGGTACCCATAAGAATGTCGTTTGTGCAGATCTCTGGAATCTCTCCCTAAGCTGTTGCCCTAAAATACACTGAAAGCATTGCTGTCCCTGGTTTGTAGAGTGAAATTAAAAGATATTCAAATTATTCTGTGTGTACACTCTCAATATTCCCATTCTGCACTTCCTTTTTTCATTGTTTTTGCAGGACAGCTGTGCTTTGATACATCTTGCAGAAAGGGACAATGAAGTACAGGAGCAGGGATACAAAAGGCTCTCCTTTTGAAGAACGTGCTTCACAAAGCTGTTAATTACAGAATCTTGAATATATAGGATGTATCTCTCTGTTGCCTTCTTCGCCACCCTGTTCAGTATCTCATGAATGAGGGTATAAAAGTGTAAGACTGAAAAGCATAGATATCCACACTCTGATAGGCCTGTGCCAGCCTCAGTATTTCCATGTTTGTGTTGCGCTAGAAAATGGCCGGAGAGAATTTATCTTGTGAAAACTGTGAGTTATTTCTGTATCACACTGGAATCTCCTTTGAGGAAGCCAGTCTTTTGTCAGCAGGACTTGGAATATTAGTGCAATTCAAGTGACAGGAAAACCTCGAGGTCGCATCAGCTATCCCTCCCAAAAGGAGGACTAGGCACAGATGAAATGAGGTACCAGAATATACCAAGGCTGCAGAATATTTCATTCTCAGTATCTTTCATGAGTCTCCAGCTGATACCCTTTTACAGAAGCGTCCCTTGAATTTTTCAGCATTTTTCCTCATGTTTGTATATCAAAGCTTTGTTTATATTGGTGGTGAAAAACACAGCTCTGACTTTTCCAGTATTACTCAGATTTCCTTTTGCATGTCGGTATCATTGTGCGTCCTTGTTTTTTGCAATGATTTTGCTGCGTGGTCAGACTGTTAATCAGTCATTCGTTACTATTATTGTTATTAAATAGGCCTATCTCTAGAGGGTGACCCTTCCTTGGATAAAATATTGATTGCTACACAAAATTTGATTTTGTAAATAGTGATAACATAACCTCCTTTTCCTTTAGAAATCTACAATTCAGCAATAAGTGGCTTGGGGCCTACCATTATTCAGTCATGATTATCAAAAGGAATATTCAATTAGAGATGTGCTTTGGGACACTTTAATAATTATGACATGTTTCTGGTAACTTTAAGTAGTACGCAAGTGACACATTCAACTTCAGGAAAAATAACAAATAATGCAAACTGATATAAAGTGATTAAATCAAATACAGATTTTACATTCTTCTACATGAATTTTGTATTTCTGATGTGTTGGGGTGATGTTTGAAAGTACCATTGACTAGATTAAGAAGCCTTTTTTTCTCTTCTGTTTTTCTTTGTATATAAAAAAATCGAGTGGACTAATTAATACCCAGGGTGATGGATGCTATTCAGATACTCAGGTATTACCACTTATATACAAGTGGATATTTCATTACATTCGTGATTGCAGCTTAATTTGATTGGCTTTTGGTGAAGGGAAGGTATCTGCCCTTTGGTAATAATTATAGTAAGTTTTCTATTACAAAGATATTGCTCTGTCCTACAAACTACTTTAGAGAAGGTTTACCTACACATTCAGAGGAGCAAATTGATCATAGACTCTTTTATTATTTTATTATTAGACTCAATTATTAAATTGGAAAACAGTTGACAAATATGAGACATAGCCAGTGATTTCTTCCTTGAGTTCATTCACTTGAATAAATCCATCTCTATCTTCTTAATGCTCTGAGAAGTGTAATTAGTATAAGATTCCCCTGCAAATGAAAGATGGATAGGTGTGTGGAGAATTCAGGAAAGGAGGAGAAGGAGGCGATATTAAGGTAAGCAGGAACAATCTACAGTAGGAGCAGTCTATCTTTTGACGCAAGCAAATTATTGTTAAAAGTGTCTGAGACATTCAAATCATATTTTTTATAGTAAACTTTCCCCACCAGTATATATTAAAGGCTCTTTTCACAACTATAACATTTCTACATTTCTTTTAGGACCAGGTAATGAAAAAATGAAACTTCTGACTTGATATTTCTAAATCTAGTTTTATGTTTAATGAGGTCAAAATATAATTTATATTGTTTCTAAAGGAAATATTTTGAAATATTTTATTCAGGTTATTGAAATGTTATGTTCCTTTAAGGGGGACTCATTTGTTTCAGTTGCAGTAAAAACAAATTTTTCATCAATTAACTTTATTGTAAACATTTCAAAACTAAACATTTTGTTCTGATTAAAACAAACCATTTCAATTATTTTCTTCTTAGAATGTTACTCTCACCTCGGTTGCATGAAGCATTTTGTGTTTTGCAAACTGTCATTTTCTGGTGGAGATTTGTTGCTCAATCGTACAGATAAACTTTGAATCATTCTTCTGCTTTCTAGATAAAAGGAATATATGGGAGAGTGTACATGGTATTCCAGTTAAGGCCAGAGGTTCATAAATCTGGAGGGTTTCTGTGAATACATTATTCCAGTTTTATACAGAGCAGTTAGTGTTGTCATATTCATATATTTGATACTTTAATAGGATATACCTTGACAAAATGGCATTTTGAATTCTACACTAAACTTCAGAACTGCTTTTTCTAACTGTTTGAAATATTCTTAAAAAACAACAACAACAACAACAACAACAGAAGGCTAGATCTAAGTAAAAATTTAAACCTCTGTCTTCAAGCCAGAACAGATGCCTACCTACACTTTGGCTTTGTAGGTAGTATCAGGGGAGAATAAGATGTCCCCTAAATATGGTGCAACCCCCCACAGCCTCTGCATAAACAATGCGGTGTTTGCTGCAAAACTGGCTTCTGGTATGCTCCTAGGAACGCCAGAATCCTTGCGAACTCATCCGTAGGCTAATGTATAAAAGTTGGGCGCGCTGTATTCATCATTAGAAGAACGTGTCCACTGTTGGCCTCTCTGAGGAGGCTAATTTTGCCTATGAGGACTCTGTGAGTTCTGAAGACGCTTCTGGATCAGGTCCACTGTGGGACTTGGGCAAAGAAAAGCCCAGTTCCTGATTCTGGTTGGACTTAGACAGGATTTAGGTACTGAACTCAAATTGCAACCATTCTGGGGCATGCAAAGAAACAAAAAATTGGAAGGAGAGGCATCTGGAGAAATTAAGTGTTTCCCGACTTAGGTAGCATCTGAATGAGAATTTCCTGTATTACAATTTTGCATTTAGATGCCTCAGTTCTGCCTACATCATGTTTTTGATCTGGCCCTAAGACCCCAGCCCTTAAGAAACCCAAACATTCCAGGAAGGAAATAAAAAGAAACCAAAATGTATTATTTCCTGAAGCGTTATTAAATCAATCTCATGGTTTGGGGGAGCCACCCTGTTAGGCGAACAGAACATCTGCTCCGGAGGAAATCCGTCAGATGCTTGCATGGAATCATTTTTATGGCTTTCTTTCATCCCTTCCATCTCATTCCTCTATCCTCCTTGAAAGTAAGCCAATGGGATAGATATATGTTGTCAAGAGGAGTTTTTATTTTGAGGGATGCAAGATACTGCACACTGCCTGTGCAAATAGTCATTCAGCCTGTCACGTAGCACCATACTGCTCTGTGTGCGTGGAACAATACAGGTTGCATTTATCATAAAACTTGCCCCCGGGCAGCTATCCGAGCGTACCGATAAAGGGAATTCATTTGTGCCCTGATCATTATGACAATGTTCTTCAACAGGTAGAGAGATAGACTGATTTTATCTTGACAGTGATGGCCTGCTCATTATTGATGGCAAAATGTTTGTGCTTAATGGTGCCCATAAATGCCACCGAAACGTTTTTTCCCTGCCTCTGAGGGTCTTCAGAAGTATTAATATTCCGTCATTTTCTTTTGTTTTCAGAGACACAGAAAGTATTTGGATTCCGGACAAGTACTCAACCAGTGATTGAAAGTGGAGAGAAGGACAAGGTAGTGGCTGTTAGATATAATAAGTGATATATTACTTGTATCAAAATATCCCTTAATGTTTTTATTACTGGTCTGCATTTTCACAGATACGGTTTCAATTCTGCACTTGAAATTTGGATCAAGCATTCTAATAATTCTGGAATCTCTGTCTAATTTGGAATTGTATTTTCTGTTAGTGCTACTGCAGTAATATTTCCTGCATTTTAAAAATTAATCCATCTTCATTCAGGAAAATATCAGTGTACTGGCAATCTCTGGCTCTGTATTATGCCCTCTCGCTTCTCTTTGTTTCTGGCAGGACAGCAATGTTAAATCATGTCTTTGACCAAGGTTTTGCTTCTCAGTAGCTCTCTAAATGCAAGCCCAAATCTCTAATTTCCAGTTTTTTTCCAGCTTGCATGATTTTCTCATACGTGGGGAATTCAAAACATAAACAGCATGAAGTTGATGAGCGGCCACTAGATTAGCTCCAGAGCGTAAAGACATAAAAGGTAGGTTTTTGTAAAAACAGGAGTAGGGATGCTTGATTGTATCTTGCCTTTTATCTCTCATTTGGGGTGTTTCCCTTTTTTGGTTTTGGCAGATACTGAGTAGCATCAGATCGTAATAGCATAAAGGGTTAACCACTTTATTTAAATGAATTAGAGATCTAGTCCTAGCAGGTTGACTTCTCCCTGTGAACTCGTGCCGTCTCTCAGAAATGAGGCACTCCAGTGATGGTTGGAAACCTTATCTCTTGTTTTTGTACATCACCATTTCTGGCTGAAGAAAACATAGCAAAGGGTAAGGGCATATTTTAAGAGGTTTTCTTATAGACCACATACTGTTAAAGACAGGTCATTCCCCAGTCTTCTCTCCTGAGAGTTATATGCAGCATGTAAAGAAGAGGGTCATACCAACTGCAGTATTCATTAAAAGGTTAATCACTTCTAAATAGCTGAGAGTACAACATCTTACCTTGCAATCTGAAGGCCAATGAGAGTGTTCTCATTATATGACACCTCTTACTTTCCTGGATATCGTTGTGTGTCATTGCTGAAAT